GTTTTTCCCAATGCACTGGAATACCTTATTGTTAGAAAATATCTTCGAACCTAGTCAAAGCGGAACAAAAAGCTTCTCCTCCACTTTCAAGCGACGTTGTGGAAAGTTCATCCGGACCAAAAAACTTCAAGGCAAAGTCATATCAATACTTTATCAAGTGAGGCGTGGCATAAGGGCAAAATATCTTTCACATTCAGTGGTGACGTTCTTATTTTCGAATTATTCTGGGGGTCTGTCTTTTAGAACACAAAAAGTATTGGACCGGTAAACCACGCCACCATAAGAGAACTCGTCTTGGAGAAGTCAACACTGCATAGCCAGTATAAAAACGGCTAATACACGGTGCCCTTTCAGTGAAAATAGAGATATTGATTACCTAAGCCATGGAAGAAGCCTGGGTTGGACTCGAACAACGGGCTTTCTGGTCAATCGCGCCCAAATCCGTGAGCTAGCTCGGAGTAGAATGTACGCTATCTATGAGGAACGCACCAAATGACCGTCATTCGACGTCTCTGTCGGAAGAACAGATTTGCTATGAACTGTACATTGATCAATTGCCATTTTATTCATTCTATTCTATGGTTATGTAGTTGTCTATTCTGCCTGACCTGACTATGCAGGACCCCTCAACAATCATCCAAAGCGATGCACTCCACAAAAATCACTACATTTGAAGTATTGAGGGAAAGATATTTCACAGATATTTCACACAAACAGTAGACGGCAAATAAAACGATTTTCCAAATCGACCGACTAGGGTTGTCAACCCGACTTTTTCACAATTTAACGAATGCCTAACACGTGCACTTCTACTGCCATCTTTTTTTGTAAGAACGTTGGTGCTTTTCATGAAAACCGGCACTGTAGGCAGAAGCACATAATGTCCCTAAAATTCATATTATTAGGCCATGGTACCCTTGTTATGCGCAGCCGCTTTGATATCCGTAGAAAGAATCTGCAGACCGTCAGAGCTCCAGGGCTTAGATGACAGCGATTAAGAAATGGTTAGTCCATATCCTGGTCGAGTACTTGCGCACTAACCACTCGTCCATTCCGGACAGATGGTGCGAGTTGGATAGCAGGAAAAGTAACCTGTACAAATAGTCTGTGAAATCATTATTTACCAAGATTCTCTTGTACCACCAGTGTCTAGTTAAGCGCTCCGCTAGCCCCAAGTCATGCGTGATACCTCATCTCACTACCCCGAAGATGACTGAACTAGGATTAGTTTGTTCCACTCTCACGCAAAAAAAACATCTGACATCGCAGCAAGACCAGTCCCAAAGCTATTGGAGAGCACTGCTAGCTTAGCTAATATCGCCTAAAGGATGTGCTGACAAGTCTTCCCGGAAACTGGAATGGAAATATTGTGGCTATCTAATTACCATGATATGTAAGGAAGGTGATACACAAAAGAGTCAGGTTTGGACCAAATAACGGATAATGCTCTGCTCATTGCATCTTAACAACCGATCTTCCCTCGGATCTACATCCGCACAAAGTAAAATGTAGTCCATTTGTCTGTAAAAACCCATCTTCTCTTCATCTACCAACCATGAGCGTGCGTTCATTAGCCCAGTCAATGTTAATGGGACGCTTTGGATACTACATTTACTTATTGAGCAAGCATGAAGAGGCAAAGGCGTAAAGACGCTGATGATGGTGATTACTCAGCCAGCTGCATGAAACCACAGTGCCATGCACTGAAAGGGAACATACACTGGCAGTACCTGAGACCACGTGATGAAGTCACACATATCAGCTGTTGCAATAAAACGGTTACGGTACAGGGAGGCTTCACCAACACCATGAACAGCATACCCCGTAATGAAGTTTAAAAAAGAGAAACGTACCATAAGTGATTCCGCTGATAATTGTGAGGCGTCTTTATTGATTGATTGACTCAATTCCTGTATGTCAAATTCTATCCTACGGGTATTCAACCGCTTGAGCTTGGCGGCCTGGTCTTTACCCACAGAATTGAAGCGGCGAGGTGAAAACCAAGAGAGCAGGGATGTATCCATAGTCAGCGATGTTGTAGGGGAACTGCGTGGTGAGCTGGTGGCTGACGAATCGATTGCATCGGATCGTAGACGCGGACGGTTTTCCACAGGGACCCGCTCAAGTTCAACACGAAGTTCAGCACTAGGTTGAGATTGAATACTTCTACGAGAACTGCGTAGCATCCTCCTTGTATTAGATAAAACTGGGCTTATTCTGGTGCTATATGATCGGACTGGCCGCCTACGATCAACCTTAGGCGGATCGAAGGACCACAATTGATCTGGTCGCTGATTAGGTGTTGGTGATGAGCTGACATGTTCCTCAATGCTGTTCAGCGGGCTAATATTCCTCAGAGGACCATTTCTGAGGGTAACTGCGAGTGTGGGTCGATTGTCGACATGCGGAACGTTGTTCTCTTTTTGAGAGGAGACTGAGTCCGACCTCTTGACACGCTTTCTCGTCGTACAGCGAACGTTGGCCGGTGGGTCCTGGAACATATCTAGAGATCTTTTACGAGTGACAACTCCGGAGAAGTTCCGGAGCCAGTAGTTTTTCTCCTTCATTGGATGGTTGACCTACAACCTAGAATGATTGGTCCGAAGAACTTGCCTTAGGGTGCTGAACATACTTTCGCAAGAGCGACGAGAAAGGGTACCTGATAAATATAAACACAAATCAGGTGATGTATAACGAGTGGCTACAAGAGGACCTCACCAAAGTTTGTTTCGAAACGTACAGACTCGCAAAGATATTTAAGAAACTAAAGAAAAGGCCAGAGCAAGAGGACCCGAAGAGTTGCCGGACGACCTTCATGCATCGGGGAGCCGGCCTTCAGACTCTTCAGTTCAGAATTCACGACCTCAGTCCCGGGCCAAATAAGAACGGCGTATTCTTTAGAATGGCCTGGTTTGTCAAGCCAGTAGGATGGAGAATACCTCACCCAAATTCACTCTGATATATCGGTTTTTCTGAAATTATCCAATCCAGCATACGACGGTCTCGATGCGCTAGGAAATCGACCATCAAAGCAGAAGCCAGTGATCAGCACAACCAAAGGAATGCCAATGTCAAGGAATTCGACCCGCAAATTTTCGACCCGAATGATGCCTCATGAAAAGGTGAGCGAGACACGAACAGCCATCGATGAAGTCGTGTTGGGGAGTCTTACATACCGTGTGCCAGTATCTGATCGCGGATTCTCCGCGGTACGAACCTTGTCGCGGGACGTTCGAAATCGGTTTCGTTTTTCCCTCGTGCAAATTCGTGGAAAAAAATTTTCATTGTTCAATCTGTTCACAGAGTACACACGAGTAATTGTTGAATTTTATTACTCTAACAAAGCATTTGGGAGTTAACGCTTTATATTTTGCGCACATTTCCTATTTTAATTCTAGTCCTAAACATGACATCAATTTATACAGAATGCCCTATGCAGATATCGATAGACCACAACAGGTGTGGGCGAAGTGGCTGCTCGTTGAATGTCATACGCCGCACGCAATGCCACACGTGCAAGGTCTGCTGGCATTTCAAATGCACCTGATTACATGAGGAACAGATAAGCCGATTAGCTAACTATTATGACCCGTTTGTCTGCGCCAGCTGCATATACGTGAGATGCATATCGCAGCGAAGAGGATAGCAACGGATTCACGAGTTCACGGATTGATACACAAGATCGAGGCTTCTGCCCAAGTTTCCCGGGTCGGTTTCGTTCTTGTCGGTCAGTGGCTGTCGTTCA